GTTTTACTTTCAAATTTTTGATAAACTTCAGAACTGATTTCCATATGGCTGTACTACTTTACAGCCCCACTGGCAGATAAGAGTTCCTCTTTCTCCCTCGCAAGCATCTGTTGTCATTTGATTTCTTGATCTTAGCTATTCTGACTGGGATGAGATAGAATCTCAAAGTACTTTCAATTTGCAGTTCTCTGAAGGCTAGGGTTATTGAATTCTTTTTAAAATACTCACCATTGTATTTTTTCTTTGAAGAACTATCTGTTCATTTCATAAGCCCAATCATGATTGACAGTTTTGTTTTCTATGTGTTTCGTTTTTTTTTTTTTTTTAGTTCTTTATATAGATAGTCTAGAGGCATAGCTGGCAAATATTTACCCATTCTGTAGGCCGTGTTTTTGCTCTGCTGATAGTTTCCTTTGCAGTGCAGAAACGTTTTAATTTCATGTAGTCCCATTTATCGATTCTTGGGCTATTTCCTGTGCCACTGGAGTCTTTTTCAGAAAGTTCTTGCCAACAGCTAAACGATGAAATATATTCCCTATGTTTTCCTCTAGTAGTTTCGGGACTTCAGATTTTCAGTTAAGGTCTGTAGCCCCAACTGGCCTGGAACTTGCTATGTAGAGCAGGCTGGCCTTGAATGTTTATGCAGGTGAGAGATGTGGTTCTATTTTCACTCTTTTGCAGGTGGAGACCTACTTTCGTAGCACCATTTATTGACTAGGATTTTTGACACCTTTATTAAAAATTAGGTGGCTGTAGCTAAAAGCATAGTCTTTTGATGGTAAGAAATGCTTGGTTCTTTTGGCAGTGTGTTCCCTCTCTTCATGTATAATTTAGCTATTGAAGCAAATGTAATTTAATTTGCTCAAGTTTCACTTGTTTTGACAATTAGGAATATACTAAACTACAAGGAATTAGTCGATTTGAATATTTAACTTTATGTTTCAACTTAGGGATTTTTGACTGTAACTTGTTTTGACACATGTAAAATTAAAGAGAAAAACACAGACAATTTAAGGCATTGAAGATTGGCAGGACCTGTGTGCCTAATTTTGTTCTGTAAAAGCTGAAAGTAGCATAGCACTTGGCTACACAGTCAGTAAATATTCATTGTAGCATTTATTAAAGCATAAATTTGGAACAAAGATAAGGGTATTTTTCTTTTCTTTTTAAAATCTTTTATTAAGCTTTTGCACATTTCATACAACACTTTTTAATCAAATTTAGATCCCCCTTCCCCATCCATGTCCTTCCCCCATCCTAGTTTGTTTCTCCATTGCTGTGACAAAACACTCTGACCAATACCAACTTGGGGAGGAAAGGGTTTATTTGGTTCACATCTCCCAGGTCACAGTTAATCCAGCCCAAGGTAGGAACTCAGGGCAGGAACCTGGAGGCAGGGGCTGAAGCACAGGCCATGGAGGAATGCTGCTTACTAGCTTGCTCTCCTGACCCATGCTCATTTTGCTTTCTCATACAACATAGGCCCACCTTCCCAGGAGTGGGGCCACCCACAGTGGACTGGGCCCTCCCACATCACTCAATAATCTAGAAGATGCTCCACAGACATGGCCACAGGCCAGCCTGGTGGAGCCAATTCACCAATTGAGGATCCCTCTACCCAGGTGTGTCAAAGCTATCCAGCACACCCCCAGACTTCATGCATTCTGCCATACATGCTAAGTCCTATCCAGTCAAGCGTTTGTACCCAGATTCCCTCAGTACAAATTCATCCACTGGAGTCTAATCAGCCTATCTAGAGATCATAAGTAAGGTCTACTCTCCCTCACCTTTTGAAATAAGGCCTCACTATAATAGCCCAGGCTGGCCTTGAACTCCTGGCAATCCTCCTGCCTCTGCTGAAATTACCAGTGTAAGCCACCATGTCCAGCAAAGATAGGGATTCCTCCCTACTCCAGTGACTGATAATGGTAGGGAAATGCAATGATGGGTCTTGAGTCCTGATTCAATGGCTTATTTTGCATATGATTTACCTCCTAACTTCAATCCTTAGATATAGGAAAATCGACATGCTAACATTACTTTTTTCCCCTAGGGAAATAATGCATTTCTACTCCTAAAAAGTATATACTTCCTTAGAAAACTTCTTATAATTTAAAGAAGAATGTAATGTGAAAATTAGTCTGGAAACATTTTTCAAGATTTTCTAATAATACATGTATGCATTTTGGTAAATGTATGTATTTTGGTATGTATTTTGGTAGGCCTGTGCTTCCTGGTGACTCTGCTATCAAGATGGTCCAATCATAATATCGTATGCAGAGACAATCTTTTTAGAGTCACCATCTCACTTGTAAAAAGGTGGGAATACTGACAGAAGCAGTCAGTCCTTCAAGAAGAAACTTGATTTGCTGATGAGAAAGATCATTTAAATATTTGTTCAAAAAGTTTTGCTACATTAGAGATGAGGAAGAATTTCAGACAAAACACAAAATTAGAATTTGATTATGAAACCTCAAATAGTCTGATTCCTTTTTAATCCTGTTTTCAATAGGATTTGGAACAGCTGAAAGGCTATGTACAGTGGTAGGATCTCTAGGGCTCTGCATTTCTGCTCTATGTGACCTCTGAAAGAGGCACAGCCTAACAGCCATGCCTTTAAATGAACTTTTAAAAAAAGAACTGTAGAACATGGACCTTTCAGAAAGTGGGAAGAAAATCTCTATATGGAATAATTTTAGGGGTTTGGAAAGTGGGTTTTCACTCTAAGATGGAACTGATACAAGTTTTAAAATATGCTATGATGCTTGTGTGTGCGTGTGTGTGTGCATGTGTGTGTATGCACACCTGCACACTTATGCCTATCAGACACATTATTTGAAAGAAGGCATGCTCTTCATTTTCTTGGAAATTGTAGAGGTAAAAAAAGACAAAATATGTGTATGTTATTCAATAACATTTTGATATTAAATAAAAGGTTTTTGTTGTTGTGATGCTAAATATTCGACCCAGATCTTCACACACAGTAAGCAGATATTCTGGCACTGATATGCAGCCCTAGCCCATGCTAGTATTTTCTCCTTTTTTACTGAAATTTTGGAAATTTCAAACAATATATTTGATTGTACTTAGAGCCCCTTCCCTATCTGCACCCCCTTACTACCTCCTGCCCAATTTTATGTACTCTGTTTTATATATATAGTAAGGCCTATAAAGTAACATTTGTGTCCCCAGGTGATCTTCACGTAGATTCATCCACTGGAGCATGGTTAACTTACGAAGAATCAGACTCTTTAAAAAATTATTTTTATTTTATGTGTACGAGTATATTGCCTGCATATATATAAGTGCACTCATGTCATGCAATGCTTGTGGAGGTAAGAAGAGGGCATCAAATTCATCTGAAACTGGAGTTAGGGATGGTTATTAGCTGCCATGTGGGTGCTGAGACTCAAACCCGGGGTCTCTGCAAGAGCAGGCAGTGCTCTTAACCACTGAGCCATCTCTCCAGTCCTAAGAGTCAGACTTTTAAAAGAAATTGACTCTCCCCTTTCTAGACGTCATTGGTTACCAATAGTTCAACAAGCTAAGGTTTCTTACCCACTTTCGCATGTTTATGCTGAGGTTTTGTCTGGTTTGAGCTAACATGGGGCTTTTACATGCTATCATTATTGCTGTGAGTTCATATGAGTAAGTTCTCAGCTGTTTGGAAAACTATTTCCTTGTGGTCATCCACCATCTTTGGCTCTTAAAAATTTTCTGCTCTTTCTTCCACAATGATATCTGAGACTTTGGAGGTAGAATTTTGATGTGTCAAATTCAGAGATAATCACTGTGCAGTCTCTTATTCTCGGCACATTGGCCAGTTGGAGGTTTCTGTGTTAATCACCATCTGCTATTCTGTTTAATGAAATGCTCCATGCTTTTTGAAATATTGCCCTTTTATGGAAGTAGAAGCAGCTGAGATTTAAAAACTTTTATTTTAAAATATAGCTTTGGGATTATTAAAAGAACTGGGAAAGCCTTTTAAATAGTTCAAAAGATAGAGACAAATCTATATTAATTTGTAAGAAATTCATTTTAATAAAAACTGGGGAAGAATAATGTGCTTTTTCTAAAGTCATGTCATCCCAGCACCCTTCAAGTTGGGTTTTCGAGGACTTCCTGCTCTTCCCTACCACCTCCACTCTTGTGCATCTTCTTCCGCCCTGCTGTCCCTGTGTTCTCTGAACACTAAGGTTATGTTTCCATTTATTTTGCTCCACCATGCTGGATGTCTGCTCATTTGCTCCCCTTTCTGTGCATTTCAAGGTTAAACTGTGGGTGTGCAAAAGCTATAGATAAACTGTTGTAGTGACTCTGGTGGCTTTTCTTCTTGGCATCAGGATCCACATGTGTGAAAAGATATTCTTCCCTAAAGAACTCTAGTACATGCAATATTAATAGAGCCATATGCCATTCCTTTTAGCAGCAAGGATTACACTGAAAACACTGAAAATGTATCCTAGTTTTGAAAGAATTGTATGATTCTGCAAACTGTGTCCATGGTGGGAGCATGGCCCTCTGCAAACACAAATGTCTGGTTTATGGAACAGATGTTTCTTCACAGTATAGTTCTATTCATTTTTTTTAAAACTTGGAAAAAAATCTTATGTCAAAAATTTTAGCTACACATTTCAAAGTATCTTTAAAAGAGTAACAGTATTTAACTATATCAAAGTGAGATTTCCTAACACTTAAATTTAAGAGTTCCAGGTATTTGTACAAACATTGACATTATATCATCAAATACATAGTAAATAAAAATCAGTGTTATAAAGACAAACAAAGTAGGAATGTAGGAACACATGAACACTAAAGGAACTTTAAAAGGAACGTGTCTTTATAAAAGAGAGTCATAGCTTTATAAACAGGAACATTTATAAAAAGGGAGTAGGAGGGTCATGAATCCATAGAATTCTTGATTTTTCTTTTTGGTGTAAGAATCATATTTTATCACATGCTTATCGTAACTTAAATTCCCTCTTTTATCCCCCCTTTAGGCCAAATTTACTGATGACTGCAAGTTCAGGGAGCGATTTCAAGAAAACAGCTATAATACCTATGCTTCTGCAATATACAGAACTGAAAAGACAGGGCGCGAGTGGTATGTGGCCCTGAATAAAAGAGGGAAAGCAAAGCGAGGCTGCAGCCCACGGGTTAAACCTCAGCATGTATCTACCCACTTCCTGCCAAGATTCAAGCAGTCGGAGCAACCAGAACTTTCTTTCACAGTCACTGTACCGGAAAAGAAAAAGCCACCTAGCCCTGTGAAACCCAAAGTTCCCCTGTCTCCACCTCGCAGAAGTCCCAGCACAGTGAAGTACAGGCTGAAGTTCCGCTTTGGATGACACTCATTCTGGCCTTGTGAGGAACTGCTTTTCCACCACTCAAGTTTCTACAGGTGTCTTCAGAGATCCGAAGAAGGCTTGGAAACAGCGTCCACTGCACTCACACTGTCTGGAAGTCAGGCCATTTGTTCATTTTGACTGGAACAAAGATTTTTTTTTTTTTTTTTTTTTTTTTTTGTAATAGAAACGGAACTGATTCCAGCAATACAGGAACGGTTTGTAGCAATACAGGGAGCACGCTGCTTCAGCTCATTGAGATGTGAAGCCTTTTGTTTCATGATTAGAGGATGCTTAGAATTCTCCATTTTCAGAAAGTTCAAAAACCTGGACTATGTATTTTTCTGACTTCTACAGATCAGTCTGAAAGAACATACATGGTACATTTTTATTTTTGTTTCCCAAATAATATTTTGACAAAGATAAAATATTTTATTAACTTTTGATTTTTAAAGTACCTCTACATCAAACATATTTTCTTACGTTTATTATTTTAATTAACATGACACAATCAGTTTAATGCTGTTTATGAGTTATAAACTTTTTGATAGCTTGTTTGTAGCATATGGATTGCCTTTGCATTTTTCATTTCACTGTTTATTTTAGCCATACCTCAAATAATGGAAGTTTAGTTCTACATTTTAAAATGTTTAAATTCTCTTCCACAGCACCAAAGACTTAGCTTGGAGTTTTGTGTATTGTGTATAAATTCACGGCATTATGTGGAATTTTATTATTTTAGTGGCTGGGATGTCATGATTAGAAGGAGTAAAATATAAGGACATATTGATGGATTTAAAAGTTGGAGGTAAAGAAAAAAAAGTTAGAGGCAAAAGCTCACTAAGCTGGCAGCACTTATTGAGATCGAATTCTGTTTTCCTTTGCTTCTCCTTTCATCTGTCCCGTGCCCTCATTCTTGAACAGCTGAAAGAATACATTTTATTCTGTCCATCAAGCATACACTATGAAACTGGAGTGCTTAAAAATACTTCTATGACCCTCTGCTATCTTGACTGTATGGATCTAAAGGGAGTAACAACTGGAGGTGGGGTGGGGAGGATGGAGAACTGAAGGAGATGAATCACTCAACAGTTATTCATGAGAATTCCCATGGTCAAAAAATACTCCTATTATTCAGTTAAATACCCTTTGAGTAGATCTGCCCTGTGACAAGGAAACTTTCTGATGTATCTTAAAAACATCTGCCCTTGTGAGATAGGAGCTACAATTGGGAATTTCATGAGCTAAAATTGACACAACATTTTCAACCCAAACACCAAATGCTGGGTGTAAATCACATAAAATGTAACTTAAAAAGAGCTACAAAATGTATTTTCTTAGATAATCACTTTTTGAGTTCTATGAAATACAAGTGTTCATCTTATATTCATAAACATTGTAATAAAAAGGTATAGCTAATGGTTAGAAGTATGTCTTTCATAGTAAGAACAAAAGAAATCATAGAAAGTCTGTGGCTTATATAAGTATGTTTAAAAGCACTGATAAACTTTTATTTTAAAACAAAATATGACTTATTTTGGTGCAAAAACACAGAGTTAAAAAGTATCAAAATAGAAGTAGTACCACACACATAGATTGCTTTGTTTCAGTAGGGACAAACTGTACATGAATATATTATGCATAATATATAAATATTCACCCACAATTAAAATACCATGAGTAGCTTATTATAAGACCAATACTTTCATATTACATTTAGTGTATGTTTTTTAAAGTGTGAAATTAATTGCTACAAATTTTTAATTGGCTTATACTTCGGATACCCCAGAGTTAAATGAAACAATGTTATTTCATGAAAAACAGGTATGTCAATTTCTTATTGAACTGACATTTCATCCTATTTATATAGTACAAATCTACAAACACTCTTCTAGTTATACAAATCTCTTGCTAAAAACTGTGAAGTATTTATCACGTTCTTAGGATATACAAAAAAGTCAAATCATGAAACAGGCGATTATTAAACATGTTTGTAAATGAGAAAGGGGCAAAGGATTGTTAACAAATATATTAATACATATATCACAAGGGCTGAACACCACTCACAGTTTATGCTTTAATGCATTAGCTTATCTTGTACTCCTAGCTGATTTGGTTAACTTATGAAGGCTACAAAAGGATAGCTACCAAATATATATCATGCAAGTCAGGACTCATTAATTTCAGAATTTAAAGCTATGATGAAATAAAATAATAAATTAAATTATACTAATTTGTAGTTTACTGGTCATGTGAAATTACATTTAATTAATACACAGTTAAGCATGTAGATCCTTAAATTAATTAAGTGAACTCATATACAAATAATATGTATACATATAATTCCTTATTCATACAACTTTCTAAGAGAGATCATGCTTATGTAGTTTCTGGTTATTTTTTAAGTAATAGCCTCATCTCATATCAAACAAAGCTGCTTGATTACTATCATGTTCATCTAACAATGTTAATATTGAAGAACCCAATTTGTCCCACATTATAAACATCACAGACTGACATTTCAGGCTTGTTAACTGTATTATGTTTGATTTTTAGCTCATGATAGTCTTTATTTGGAACATACATAGAGATAAAAAGAGAAGTCCAGCCGAGTGTGGTGGCACACACCTTTAATCCCAGTACACTGGAGGCAAAGATGAGGCAGAGACAGGCAGATTTGTGTGAGATCCAGGCCAGCCTGGTCTACATGGTGAGTTATAGGCCAGCTGGGGCTAAAGGGGGACCCTGGCTCAAAAGAAAAAAGAAAAGAAAAGAAAAGAAACCAAACAAAAGAGGAGTCCAAATAACATTGTAGATTTTAGTTCCTGAAGTCAACCTTCATTTCCTTCAAGAAAACTAATTATGAATATGTGTGAATATTAAACACCTTAGTTCTTTTAGCTGAATTACAGTGGCCTGGAAGTGTGAAATTATCTGACAATAATAAAGTAAGAACTACTTCCAAATAACATATAATCTGGTAACTGAAAATAAGGTACAAATCAAATAGGCAAATTTTCTATAAACTTGACCATGAAATAGTAAACTGAATAATTTTCTTACCATTAATGTTATTTACCCTTCTAGAGGAAGGAAAGCCTGAGCCCTGGCTCCTCACAAGTTATAAAATGTATTAGGTAATAAGTAAAGAGCTTTATTACACTTTCTGGTTTATTAAATTATTTTCACTTTTGATGCTATTATAGATACAGGTCACTCAGCCCTAACTTTGACTTCTACCATTTGCTTTTTAACATCATTTGCAGTTTTATTATAACAAATCATTTGAGCTTTAAAATATTAATAAATCTATACAGTTTCAAAAAGGGACACGGTTCTTCAGATCAAATAGTCTATGCCCAGATGACACAGAGTGTCCATATAAAAAAAACAGTCAATAAAGTAAGAAATACATATATTTTAAAAAGATACTACCTTAGTTTTAAAAATAACCGGGGATATAGCTCAGTGGTAGAGTGTTTATCTGGAATACACAAGACATTCTTATGGATGATATAAAATATCTGAATTAATTCTGAGGGGAATGGTTGGAGCAGTATTATTGTCCAAATTCCTCCAAATGAGGATTGCTTACAACCAACTTCTTATCATCCTTCTCTTACTTTGCATTTAGGAGGTTTTCTCTAAAGTCCTATCCTACATACAACATCAGATAATGAGATATCTTTTATTTGCTCAATACTCATTCAGTATATTCTTTGTGCTCTCTTGTTCTTAAATTTTGGAGACTATATGTGCTCTTATTGCACTTTGCAACCTGACATTAGGTAAATAAAACTATCTTAAGAAATTCTCTTAACTGGTAGTAATTTGGAATATGTTCTTGTGATATATTTTGTAAAGACTATTGGATATTTTACTTATTCACAGAACTTAGAATATATTTATATATGTCTAGGTCCTAGCATATATTAGCTGCTCAAAAATGGTCTTAGGATGAATACATGAGTAATGTTTATTTGATGAAGCTGATGACAGGTAAGAGAATTTTAGGCTAGACACAGATAGGGCCTATGATGTGAACAATTACACCCAGTCCCCCTCTCACTATACTTGGACTTCTTCCACACAAATCTTAAAACCAAACTAAAAATATCAGGAACTTACAAGCTGCATTTGGGCATCTATAAATTACTCATCATATGACCTCAATTTCATTGACAATCATAAATGTAGGTTACTATGCAAATCCTGATTTTTTCGCTATTTGAAACCAAACAAGCTGTCTAGTGGGATGTCAGTAGGTATTAGTGGGGAGTAAAGACATTTCTTTTTGGTAATTTATTTCTAGATGTGTTTTTCCATTTTTCTCAGATAAATTCTCTCAAAGAAGACTGACTTTTTTCTGTGCCCAACAGCGAGATTAGCAAATGCATAATCACACAGTGACAGGTCCCGTTCCAATGTGTTTCTCATTAAATTTTCTGTCATTCCCTCTGTGGGAAACTGGAAAATTTATCAGATTTTTATACAGGGAGGAGAATTTCTGCTGAGGAGGCAACACAATGTCTTTTACTCTCTAGAGAGCAATTATGTCTGTGCATCCAACAGCCCTGCTTCATTGTATGATAGGGCTCTCTTTGTAGAATGCATGCGTTCCATAACCTGTTTCCACACTCCTATACATGTAAAATATATTTACATTTCTAAAACTTAGCTTGTTGTCCTACATTTGCCTCCACAAAAGGCCCCTGAGAGTAAATGTACCTGCATACTAGAATAATACATGCATAAAAATACACCGACTCCCACGACAGTCCCCATCCTTACAGAGTATATGAGAGAATGAGTTTAAATTTTGGAAAGGAAAAATAGAATAAAAGTAGGACATTTTCAGTCAGTTCTGTTTTTGCGTGAAGAATGCATTATAATAGGAAGCGAATATGTTTTTGTTTAAGTAATGAAAGGAAAACTGTCATGGAAATGACTTCGATAAACACCGTCTGAGGCCTGGAGCTCCTGTAAATTATGATTAGGAAGGAAAGCCATGCCATTTAAGTTGCCATGTTAGTTTTATCATTGTGGATTACAACTGGGTGGGCTCTGACCATTGGTTTTCACCTTAGAAATCATGTTGTTTAAAATTCGTAGCCTTCACTATCTAAAGAGCAAGAAAGCAAAGGAAATCAACATACATAATATGCCAGATTGCTGGTGCA